ATTGCACTTTAGCATTCATTTCTCCTTGAATGCTTGTTTGCATTGTGTCTTGATAGGATGCTTCCTTGCATTCTGTCTGATTTAAATTCTTGTGTGTATTCTGTCTTGCGGAATCGTTGCCTTCATTCTGTCTGGCTATAATGTTTGTCTGTATGCCGTGGTTGGATGCATGTTTGCTTTCTTGTTTGCCTGCATTCTGTCTTATTTGAATACGTGCATGCATTCTGTCTAGATTGAATCCTTGCTCGCATTCCTCGCTTGCTTAATTCCTTGGTTGCATCCTGACTCGTTTGAAGGCTTGCTCCCATTCTGTCGGTCTTGAACGCTTGCTTGCACGCTGTCTTGCTCGAATACTTCTTCTCATTCTTTAAAAAAAATTTGAATGCATGTTTGCATTTTGTCTTATTTGAATGCTTATTTGCATTCTTTCTCTCTTGGGTCCTTGATTACTTTCTGCCTATCTTGGATCCTTGTTTGCATTCAGTCTTGTTTAGATGAGGTTTGCATTTTCTCCTTCTTGAATGTCTGCATGGAATCGGTCTCGCTAATTTTCTACTTTGCACTCTCTTTTGCCTGAATGCTTGCTTTCATTCTGTCTTGTTTGAATGCTTGCTTGCATTCTGTCTGCTTTGAATGCTTGTTTGCATTCTGTCTATTTATAATGCATATTTGCATTCTTTCCGTCTTGAGTACTTGCTTGGATTCTGTCTTGCTTGAATGCGTGCTTACATTCTGTCTTGTTTGAATGCTTGCTGCCATTCTGTCTTTCTTGAAATCTGTCTTGTTTGAATGCTTCATAGCATTTTTTTTGCTTCAACGTTAGCTTGCCTTCTGTCTTGCTTAATTCTTTGCGTGCATTCTGTCTGGCTGGAATCCTTGTTCGCATTCGGTCTTGTTTGAATGCTTGTTTGCATTCCGTCTGGCTTGAATGCTTGTTTGCAGCCTGCCTTGATTAGATGAATGTTTCCTTTCTTTCCTTCTTGAGAGCTTGTTTGGGTTCTCTCTTGCTTGAACGCTTCAACACCTTCGGTCTCGTTTGAATGAGTGTTTGATTTCTGTGTTATCTGAATGCCAGATTGTATTCCTCTCTTGCTTGAATGCTTCCTTGCATTCTGCCTTGTTTGAATTCGTGTATGCATTCTGTTTAACTTGAATCCCAGCTTGTGTTCCTCTCTTGCTTGATTGCTTGTTTGCACTGTCTCGTTTGAAGCTTGCTTACATTCTCTCTTGCTTGAATGCTTTATTGCATTTTTCTTGCTTTAATGTTTGCTAGCATTCTTTTTTACTTTAGTCCTTGCTTGCATTCTGTCTTGCTGGAATCCATGATCGCATTCTTTCTTTCTTGAATGCTTGCTTGCATTCTGTCTTGCTTGAATGCAGTCTGCCTTGATTAGTTGCATGTTTCCTTTCTTTTGCTTTTTGAGTATTTGTTTGCATACTATTTTGCTTGAACGCTTGAACACCGTTAATCTCGTTTGAATGCTTGTTTGCATTCTGTCTTATTTGAATGTTGTTGTTTTTTTCTTTCCGTCTTGCTTAAATGTTTCCTTGCTTTCTGTCTTGTTTGAATGCTCGTTTGCTTTCTGTCCTGCTTGAATGCTTGTTTTCTTTCTGATTTTTTAAAATGCATATTTGCATTCTTTCAGTTATCTGTACTTGCTTGGATTCTGTCTTGCTTGAATGCATGCTTACATTCTATCTTATTTGAATGCGTGTATGCATTCTGTCTTGCTTGAATCCTTGCTTGTGTTTCTCTCTTGCTTGATTGCTTGCTTGCATTCTGTCTTGCTTGAATCCTTGTTCGCATTCTTTCTTGTTTGAATGCTTGTTTGCATTCCGTCCTTTTTGAATGCGTGTTTGCATTCTGCCTTGATTAGATGCATGTTTACTTTCTTTCCTTCATGAGAGTTTGCTTGGATTCTTTCATGCTTGAACACTTAAACACCTTCAGTTTCGTTTACATTCTTGTTTGCTTTCTGTGTTATCAAAATGTCTGATTGCATTCCTCTCTTGCTTGAATTCTTCCTTCCATTTTGTCTTGTTTAAATGCTTGCCTGCATTCTGTCTTATTTGAATGTATGTATGCATTCTGTCTAGCTTGAAACTTTTCTTGCATTCCTCTCTTGCTTGCATTCCGCTTCGTTTGAAGGCTTGCTCTCATTCTGTCTTTATCGTACACTTGCTTGCGTTTTGTCATGCTTGAATCTTTGTTGGCGTCCTGTCTTTCTCGAATGCTAGTTCTCATTCTGTTGTGTCTGAACGGTTGTTTTCAGTCTGTTTTGCTGGAAGGCTTCTTTGCATTCTGATTTTTAAAAATGCATATTTGCATTCTTTCCGTCTTTAGAGCTTGCTTGGATACTCTCTTGCTTGAATGCCTACCTGCATTCTGTCTTATTTGAATGCGTGTATACATTCTTACCAGCTTGAATGCTTGCTTGTATTCCTTTCTTGCGTGATTGCTCGCTTGCATTCTGTCTCGTTTGAAGCTTGCTGTCCTTGTGCCTTGCTTGTAAGCTTGCTTGGAATCTGCCTTGATTGGATGCTTTATTGCATTCTTTTTTTTCAACGTTTGCTTACATTCTGCCTTGTTTGCAGACAATCTTGCTGGAATCCTTGTTCACATTATGTCTTATTTGAAAGCTTGTTTGCATCCCGTCTTGCTTTAATGCTTGTTTGCAATCTGATTTGATTAGATGCATGTTTGCTTTCTTTCGTTCTTGAGAGCGTGCTTGGATTCTCTTTTGCTTGAAAGCTTCAACACCTTCGGTATCGTTTGAATGCGTGTTTGATTTCTGTGTTATCTGAATGCGTCTATGCATTCGGTCTGACTTGAATTCTTGCTTGATTGTTTGCTTGCACCTTGTCTTGTTTGAAGCTTGCTGACATTCTGTCAGCTTAAATGTTTTATTTCATTCTTCTGTCTTCAATGTTTGCTTGCATTCTGTCTTGCTTGAGTGTTTGCTTGCATTCTGTCTTGCTGGAATCCTTGTTCCCATTCTTTTTGGTTTAAATGCTTGTTTGTATTCCGTCCTGCTTGAATCCTTGCTTGTATTTCTCTCTTGCTTGGTTACTTGCTTGAACTCTGTCTTGTTTGAAGCTTGCTCACAATCTCTCTTGCTTGAATGCTTTATTGCATTCTTTTTGCTTGAAAGTTTGCTTGCATTCTGTATTGCTTGATTCCTTGCTTGCAGTCTGCCATGCTGGAATCCTTGTTTGCATTCGGATTATTTTAAATGCATATTTGCATTCTCTCCGTCTTCAGTACTTGTTTTAATTCTGTCTTGCTTGAATGCATGCTTTCATTCTGTCTTGTTTGAATGCTCGTTTGCATTCTTTCTTGCTTGAATGCTAGCTTGCATTCTGTCCTGCTTGAATCCTTGCTTGTGTTTCTCTCTTGCTTGGTTGCTTGCTTGTATTCTGTCTTGCGTGAATGCTTGTTTGCATTCGGATTATTTTAAATGCATATTTGCATTCTCTCCGTCTGTAGTACTTGTTTTAATTCTGTCTTGCTTGAATGCATGCTTTCATTCTGTCTTGTTTGAATGCTCGTTTGCATTCTTTCTTGCTTGAATGCTAGCTTGCATTCTGTCCTGCTTGAATCCTTGCTTGTGTTTCTCTCTTGCTTGGTTGCTTGCTTGTATTCTGTCTTGCGTGAATGCTTGTTTGCATTCGGATTATTTTAAATGCATATTTGCATTCTCTCCGTCTTCAGTACTTGCTTGGATTCTGTCCTGCTTGAATGCATGCTTTCATTCTGTCTTGTTTGAATGCTCGTTTGCATTCTTTCTTGCTTGAATGCTAGTTTGCATTCTGTCTTGCGTGAATGCTTGTATGCTTTCGGATTATTTTAAATGCATATTTGCATTCTCTCCGTCTTCAGTACTTGCTTGGATTCTGTCTTGCTTGAATGCATGCTTTCATTCTGTCTTGTTTGAATGCTCGTTTGCATTCTTTCTTGCTTGA